ACGTCTCAACTCAGGCAGGATCAACGTTTATTGAAGGCACGGAAGGATAGAGGAGTATCAGATAGAGAGGGCTGCCAGCAGAATATGTATGAAGCCGGAATAGACGAAGTAAATCCCCGGTAGGTTGATAAAACCAAATCCTTCCTAAGAAGAAAAGTTGGGGAGTCTTTCGATCTAAGTCTCAGAAATGTCAGAATAAACGTCACATACTTGAATGCGATCTTCATTCTAAATGGTGCCTTTCGCTATTTGGCGGCTAGATCTCTGTGAGCAAGATTACCACCATTTTTTAAGCAATATTTGTGATATTTTTTCACTTTCAACGCCAATAAATCAGTACTTTCCAGCATTGCAGGTCTCTGAAATTTTCAGTGGTTATTAACCTGAGTAAGTACTATTGACAACAATGAAATGGATTGTCAATGATGTTTATTTCTTAAGATATATGCCTTCAAAAATGCTTCCCAGGAATATTTCACTTTGGCCTCCCTAATGACTCTGCATTGTTCTATCAGTTCCTCATTGAGTTACGCGACCTTCGAGGTTTCAATTTCAATTTATTTTATTTAACCAGTAATTACAACTCAGGCCAATTTGGCCTGCTTTTCAGGTAATCCTGGATACATATAAAACTACACACAACAAATATACATTACATAAACTATTACTAAAATTACAACATCCTAAACATCAAGAGTGTCAAATCCTGCACCTAATGCTCTGTATAAAAGTCCTACGAAGTCCTGCTCCTAATGATCTGTGTTAAAAGTCCTGAGAAGTCCTGCTTCTAATGTTTGTTTAAAAGTCCTGAGACTAAGGAGCATAAGTTCGCTTTTATGCACACAAGAAGACCGTCTCAGTTTCCACGAAGTTCGCTGCCAAGTTCCAGGAAAGGTCAGTGCTTCCAGTAATGCGCTATTCCGTCTGGATTTTCCCCTTCGCAAGTTTGACCTTCCCCAAGGACGTGACCTCTGGTGCGGCTCGAAGGAGCTCATTCGCAGTCCGGGCGACTTCCCGGGAATGTTTGGCAGGCTCCTCACACACCCGCCGTTCCCTGGTCAAGATTGCAGGCATGGAAAATCCGCCGGAAATCTGCCGTAGTTTCTTCTGGGGCCATGAAGGTCGAATAATCGGGTTGCATAAGGCGAAATCCGCCTGCAAATAACCTTCGAGATATAGCGTTTGGGATGTCTCAAAAGAAACTAGCATTCAAGCTCTGAAATGAGTCACCTCTAGGTTAAAATCCCTCCAAATTGACTTGGACAACTGGAATCGGCTACTACGACATTTCCGTGGACTTTTTGATAACTTTGCTGTTTTATTTTGGAATCAAAAGAAACTAGCATTCAACCTCTGCAATGAGTCACCTCTAGGTTAAAATCCCTCCAAATTGACTTGGACAACCGGCATCGTTTACTCTGAAGACATTTCCGTGGACTTTTTTGATAACTTTGCTGCTTTATTTTGGAATCAAAAGAAACTATCATTCAAGCTCTGCAATGAGTCACCTCTAGGTTAAAATCTCTCCAAATTGACTTGGACAACTGGAATCGTTTTCTCCGAAGACATTTCCGTGGACTTTTTTGATAACTTTGCTGCTTTAATATGGAATCAAAAGAAACTAGCATTCAAGCTCTGCAATGAGTCACCTCTAGGTTAAAATCCCTCCAAATTGACTTGGACAACTGGCATCGTTTACTCTGAAGACATTTCCGTGGACTTTTTGATAACTTTGCAGTTTTATTTCGTTGGCAACTTAGTTTCGGTAATATTCATCATGAATACTGTCTCCCTCTTGTACCGGTGTTTATTAAACATGACTGTATATCATGTTAAGATATCAAAGATGCCAACATTAATGTACGTATGACTTGCAACCTTTCTGAACTAAATCACTGGCGAGACAAGATCTCCAGACATTACGAAAGCTATCGCAACAAACGGAATTGCTTAGTCGACCTACTGTGTAAAGTACCCGTACGGGGGTAACCTGGGAGGACAGATAATCAAGAACGTTGTTAGTTCGTCTCCTTAAGATCCCGGAAGGTCTACGTACCCAATCAAGCCTAACCACCCTGAGCATGGATTGTACTTGTCTTCCGTGATCCAAGACACAGAGAAAGGAAGGAAGATGAAGGGTGCGAGTTCTTAAGACTAGTCAACTGAAAGGGAATATTCTACCACCGACTTACTACTGCATTCAGACTCATCTATAATGTAACCACGATCCGTTCACGGTACTTCACACATTGGGCCTGAGATTTCAGGTTTGGAAGAAAATCAATGAGAGCCAGGTCAATGACACAACTTCTATCCATTTGTCACTTGCTGCTGAAGGGTTTTAGGAGTCTCAGAGAAGCTCCAATAGGATAAATAATATGTATATCAATAGTTTAGCGATTAAAGCCTGAATCGTATGCGTTTTTGCTACCTTGTCTTCCGAAGTCACTTAATGTTCATGGTAGCAAAAGTTCACGGTCTGAAGAAAATGGACATGCTCACGGAATGATGTATTCATGGTGGCGACAGGTGCAAGAAGGAGAAAGTCCAGGAATTATTTGTTCACTGTAATGATAAGTTCACGGTACAGAAGTGACAGTGAAAACAGTAAACACAACAGTACAGTGAAAAAATCAGGAATTGCAGTATTCGCCGAGCGCATGGTCATGAAATAAAGATATGTTCTCTGCACACAACGTGAGCTATAACAATAAATAAGACTCATACCTTCAGAATCACACTGACAACCATTATTGCTTGTGACTTCTCTATAACATATACATAATGCCTGTCACAATATTGTTTCTTTTATCCCTTCGCTAGCATCCTCTAGTCGTTAGGATTCTGAACAGATCCTTGCAATACAGACGGACCCATTACTGCTGGACTAGTCATTCTGGACAAGACATTCTGGACAATGTCTTCACGCTGATGTTCGTTGTTGAAGGGTTGTGTGACGTAAGATAAGAAAGAACAATGTGACAATGACTTTAGTATGTCTGACACATTACTGTCTGACACATTGCTCTACTGCTAAGGCCATCAGGGTTGTGAGTAACCTGCCAAATACTGACTATGAATTCTGTGTCTGTATAGCCGGTATAACCGCCCTTCGGCGTAACACACCAGCTTCTGTATAGCCGGCAAAACCACCCTTTTTCTACTATTTATTCAGCCTGCAAAGGAGTCTGGTTGGGGCTAGATTTACATGATGTTAACGATGAATGTAGTTTGTGGTGGACGGGAAGATAATATCTTCATACCGTGTCACTCCTTTGCAGGGTGAATAAATAGTAGAAATCGGCCTAAAAAGAATGTAGCTGGCCAGGGGAGTAGGTCGGCCAGAAAGGGTCCAGTTTGCCTGCAAAGATGCAGGAAAATTGTAGCCTCTACCAGGCTTCGTGAGCGGCAAACTGTTTTTTCCAGCAACTCCGCTTTCTCTCTATTTCAATTTGGTCTTCTTCTACTCTTTCCAGCCGCCTCCTGAAGCCTGGTAGAGGCAAGGCCAACTCCCCTGGCCAGCTACATTCTCTCTAGACCGATTTCTACTATTTATCCAGCCTGCAAAGGAGTCTGGTGGGTGCTAGATTTCCATCATGTTAACGATGGATGTAGTTTGTGGTGGACGGGGTGATACATATCTTCATGCCGGCAGAACGTGCCGATAAGAGCGCATGTTGCGCCACAGATTACACGCTGTAATTCATCAAATGACCCCGGCAGGAGACCGATGGGTCCCTAAGTGCTCAGATATGGCCGCTCCGCTGAAAAATGATGCCCTCACCTGGCGTCAATCACGTCAGGAATATTTATTACGTTTCTCTGAAATAAGAGGGGAGTACTACACTGAATGTTATTTCCACGTAATCTATTACCGAAAATATTACTAATTGTTTTTATACATTTGAATGTCAATTGACTAAAGGTTGATCTTGTCCATTGGAATGTCTCTTGCCATGCGACATCGTCAGGAATATTTATTACGTTTCTCTAAAATAAGGGGGGATACATGGAAGGGTAACCTATTGCCGAAAATGTTGCTTAATGTTTTTTGTACCTTTGAATGTCAACTAACTAAATGTTGATTTTGTCCATTAGAAGATCCCTACCGCTGCTGTCTGTCTGAAAGGAAGGGTTAGTTCCGCTTTTAGCGAAGAGCCCCAGAGTACTACCTGTCAATCAGGCACCCTCTAGAAGCAAAAGACATTCAGATATATGTCAGAATGCAGATGTTATCACATTGGTTACGAATTTCTGTAAGAAAGATGGTGAAAATACGCATGGCATAAGGTGTAAAATCGATAACCAGCACACTTCCCTAGCCGTTTCCTCGTAAATCTAAGGTCTTGTAAATGTGCAGTTCAAAGCGCCACGCTGGGTGGCGCTGTGAGTGCCGTGGAGAGTGCGCGGATTTTCTGATGCCTCCGGAATGAAGGAAACGTCACTTGAATGAAGATGAGGATAGAATGTGTCGTCATGCTGGCGTCCATAGTGAGAAGAAGACAGGTGTGGTAAGCACCACAATGACATGTTTCAACGGTAGAATATTAAAATAGGCGGTACATTCAAGAAAGAACTTTGGAGCCAATACTACTAGTATTACTTAATATTAGACGTCATTTTTTGTACGTGCATATTTTGTTTAATTTTGCTCATTATTTACCAGTATCATTGACCCAAAAATTATAAACGCAAACCAAAGTTTCAAATTTCATATTCTGAATCTAGTTACCTATGTATACGTTTAGAATCATACTTTTTTCCTTTATTGAATAAACGTCCATCGTTTTATACCACATTCAAATGATACATGGTACACTCCTCAAAATGACACAACCTAGCTTTCCCTTCCTTGAAGTGGGTCCTTCCTACAAGAAAGCGAAAAAGACACCCCTTAAACAAAATGATACTTTCCATCCACAGCAATGTGATAACGTCATCCCTGTATGTTCTACATGGAAACAAGAAACCCCCCTTTCAGGAAATGGTCGGTGCCGGGTTTGAAGTATGGCAGATTCATGAGGTGAAGCCGCGGCTATGCCCGGCTGGAGGGCCCATGTAAATGAACCTATCAGACCAGCTGTGTAATAGTGAATACACAGCAGCGCTGCTGACAGCCAGCTAGCTTCATCATCCATCCCAGATGCAGCGATAGAGGACCGACCGGTCGTACCAAGACTGATCGTCCCCGGCCCACCGCCCGAGACACCATGTAATATACACCCCTCCATGCCGCCGTAAATTCTGACCGGGGCGTCAGCAGAAATCCCATTCCTTACAGGACAAGATACCTGGAAGGAGGATCTACACAGTGGGCTGGATCGATGGATGAGTAGGACTGGACAGGTGCCTGCCGCTGTAGACCACACGTCAGGGGGGACACACGTACGCCTGCCCTCCCGAAGCCCGCTGAGACATGTCTCCGATCACACCGATGGCCGGGCCCCGCTGCTTCTTCTACCTCCTCCTGCTCGTATGCACGCAGTATACACTCGCAGCCTTTCCTCAGAATGTCCCCATAGGTAGGTACAGACGACATGTTTGATTGTTATCTTTATAATCAGTTCCGTAAGGTGTTAATATTTGAGTGCCGAGGTGCACTGGCGCGGTACATGCAAATCTCAAGATGGCGCCCCATAAGATCTCCCACTCGCTGAATATACAATACTTTTCAAAAGCGGAAGCATTTCGGTGTTTCAAGTCTCTGATATTTTGTTGACTGATATTTTGCAAAGTGTATCAATCAGCATTTGGCTCTAAAATATAAAGGGCGAATTCGCAACGAACTGCTCATTTCAATCAACCTTGTTTAATTATCCCTTGATGTGAGTTCTTGAATGCCGGCAGTGTATCTCATATACATTTGGCACTCCTGCCTTGTCGCCGTGAAACTAACACCAAGACAGAGGAGTTTTCAATGTTTTCTGATGCTCTGTAATCAGATTGGATTGCCCTTTGGGGATTATGCAGTCCTAGTAATGGAAGTACTAATTGCATGCGCGTGTCACTTAATTTCTGCACCAGTGTTTGTCTTAGTGGCTGTCCTTGGTGCTGAAGTTACGGTGACTTAGGATACAAAAACACGTGCAATGTCATACAATTAAACATCGATGATTGGGCCATACATCATATTTTAGAAATACTTTTTTTATAAAAACGTACATTTACAACATCTGTTGAGGTTTGGCTGTAAGAATAGGAGTTTTTTCAATGCACACACTATACTGTGCAAGTCTCATGTAGAGCTTCATATGCTGTTGTTTATGAAATAGAAGTCTATGACTCCACAGTCACTGTCAATACTGGTAAAAATAGCATTTTTTAAGTGTTCAAATATGAAAAATGGTTATGATGGTGATTTGATATTTTGCAAAATAACTTTTTGCAAAAATAAGGTCCTCTTGCCCATTTTAACATCTATCTGTTTTTATTTTTCAGGAGCCATATTTTCTAAAGAGTCAAGAGAGGAGACAACCGCTTTCCGCAACAGACTGGATATGTTAAACAAGGCCAAGGATGCTTCCTTTAAGATCGTCAGTGACACAAAACTTGTCGACACGTCTAGCAGCTTTAACATGGTCAATGCAGGTAAGAACAGTCATAACACAATCACAGGAAGAAATAAAAAAGTAGTTCATCAACATTTTCTGTTGGAACTGATAAGCGTAAACCAAAACCACAGGCCCTTAATAATTACGTCAATATTAGTGTAATTCACTTTATGTTCATGGTAGCAAAATTTCACGGTCTGAGAAAAATCGACTTGCTCACAGAACTATATGATCACGGTGGCCATATGTACAGGAAAAAGAAAGTCCAGGAATTTTTTGTTAACTGTAATGATAAGTTCCCTGTACAGAAGTGACAGTGAAAACAGTTAAAAGTACTGTGAAACAATCAGGAATTACAATTGTATGCTGTATACGTACTTTGCAGATCACAGGGCTCTTCCCAATAGACCACATGCCTTCATTGCCTAAAGCCCTCATTAGATGTGGCAGAATGCCTTGATTACGTTTTATGTGGGATGTATTTATCAACCTTATGGAGGCTGTTGTTAAACACACTGCTTCAGGGTATCTTTGTAGCTAAGGCTAACATATTGAGTGATGACAATATGGATTAAATAGATAGCAAAGATATCAGAAGATGTGATAATGAAAACCACATTGTTCATAGTTATAGAGTTTAAGCTTGTTCCAACACAAGGAAAGAACTCACCATAAATTTTTCATTCAAATCACATTGTTCATATTTGTGATTGACAGTGAAGACAAATTTTACCTGATGGAGAAACTGCTCTTTACATGGCAGGGGTCTTTTATTGTGTGCGTCCTGTATCATACAAGTTTTGCTCTGCTGTATTATACATGCATAATTTCCCTGTATTCCCAACAACGTGGATTAAATAGATAGTGAAGATCTCATACAATGTGACAATGAAAACCACATTGTTCATACTTGTGATTGACACCAAAGACAGCAACTTTAACCTGATATAAAGCTTTTGGCAGGGGTCTTTTATTGTGTGCGTCCTGTAGCACACAAGTTTTGCTTTGCTGTATTATATATGCATAATTTCCCTGTATTCCCAGCAGAGGTTGTTATGTGAGTCCTCGTGGAGGCCTGTAAATATAGCAGTAATGGGATGGAGCTAGCTGATTAACCCTCCTCATAAATCACATGTGAGGGCACTTAAACTTGTTCAGCTGTAATCGCTGCTAAGATAAGGGGCACCCGTGCATAATGTATAAAGGTGCTGCCCTTAGAAACTCCACATCTCTGAATTAGCTACTCATCTGTCACTGTCAATACAGGCTTAACAGATTGGGCGGTGCTACATTGTTTCGCAAGGGCACCTCTGGAGGGGCTCAGTTCATTGGGCCTAGGGAAAAAAATGTTGTGTTTCCTGTTTCAGTCCTGAAAAAATGAGCATTTGTAGGTAGGGATTATCTTTTTTTTCTTTCTTTTTTTAGAAAAAAGTGTAGGGTTGCCAAGTTTTTCTAGGGTCAGATGGGAAACAGGAAATACAACATTTTTTTCCTAGGCTTTGTAGATCCCACAGTGTATCTGTATAGCCGGTGTAATAGCCCTTCGGCGTAACGTTAACACACCGTTGGGGATACAGGGGTTTTCATAGCCTCAGCTGATAGTCATGTTTGAGTAGTAACATATCAAAATGCCAAATAGCTTCGCCCACGCACAAGACTGACAGTTATCCCTATTTATGTTATCCCTCAGCTTATAAACCTGCATTTCTCCTCTGGTCTCTCAGTCACTGACGAAAGCTAGTGGATACTAGCTGAAACGTCTGACCGTTTCCAAAATCATATCCAGTTGCTTGAGTAACTGTTTTTTGGCATAGTTATCCCTGTTGTATCTCAATTTGTCCGACATGTCTGTGGATCTGTGTTAGGAACAGGAACCCTTTTAAGACAAGCCTGACAGTACAACACAAAGACATGCATTCGTTACACAATGTATATTGTCTAACCACTTGGTTTTGCACAGAATATGCTTTATACAGACACGGGTCTCAGCTAATGTTGCCTTATAATGGGAAAGGCTATATTATACATTCATTAAACAATCTATATTGTCTAACCACATGGTCTTGCACAGGATATGCTTAATACAGACATGCCTCTCAGCTAATATTGCCCTATAATGGGAAAGGCTATTCCACTGTACAAGGATAAACATTAACATGCACAGAAAATTAGAAAACAAACCGGAAAATCGATAGACCGGTACGTGGGAAATGGATGTTGACGTAATGTGTCCTGAATGTGCTGATGAATTGGCTGGGTGCTGGGCGGAATGATGACATTATCTGGTGGTGTGATGGATAACAAAGTAGGTCATGGTACGCTTTCCTGATGTCAGGATATCATGTAAGCAATCAGTGGACATGTCACAGGCGGTAGAAATGTGGACTGGACACAGCTGGGGCAGACAGAGGTAATTTCCTGTGTGTGGTCGTTGGACGTGTAGAGAGGTTGATGGATGTTTGGTTTGTTCTCATTCGGTTGCATAGAAATATCAGTGAATGAATATGGTTTACATCAAGTTAAGATGTTCCTGTATCTTCAATGTCCTCTGAGAATTATGAAATATGACAACATTGTGTCTCTGAGCTCTCAACAGCTTAAGGTTGGACGTGTAGAGAGGTTGATGGATGTTTGGTCTGTTCTCATTCGGTTGTATTGTAATATCAGAGAATGAATATGGTTCACATCAAGTTAAAATGGACCTGTATCTTCAATGTCCTCTAAAAAATGTAAAAGCAACAACATTGTTTCTGTCAGCTCTCAACAGCTAAGGCCTAGGAAAAAATATTGTAAATGTCTAAATGTCTTGAGATTGCAAATGTCTAAAAAAAGAAAAAGAAAAGAAAATCCCTACCTACCGACCCTAATTTTTTCAGGACTGATACAGGAAACACAATATTTTAAATCCTAGGCCTTAAGGTGCATCGGTCATGTTTTTCTTGCTGTCTGAGTTATAGCTTATAATTTAAACAACTTGATCTGCCTAATGTAGCAGGTCACAGTTGGTGGCCACTTGGGGATATGGTCAACTGAACAATGTTGCGACAACTTGCAAAACTACTGTCCTTAGTTTCAACAGTTTCAACAGTTTATTAATAAAAATCAGCCTTGCAGTCTGTACAAAAATATGCTGAATAACACTGATTTTTTTACAGTTGTGTAACAAATACAAATACAAATTAACATTACAATACGTATACAGACACACAAACAAAAACATTATAAAAGCCACACATGGGCACTAAAGTAAAGACCAGAGAGTCCTTAGAGTCTGTCTATGAAAGCAAATAAATAAAACGCTTAACAAGTATACACACAGCTTACCATGTTTGATACAATGACATATTGAATGCCCAGGCAGATACAGAATGTAATAAATCTCTCAGCAGCGGTCCATTTTTAATCAGTCATGAGTAAATGATCATGTACGCCGTGTCTATGTTTATTATTCCAGCAATATGTAAGGTTGAAATGACCTCCAATTCAAGGGTGGAGTAAAGAATAATATAGACCCCCATTGACGTAAACAGTTCAGACAGCCTGTTTATAGCTTGCTGCTTAAGCTATTTATCATGATCAAACATAGGAGAGTCATGCAGGGCTTGAAATTCATTTTTGGGAATAGGTGCACTCAGGTGCACCCCACCTAAAAAATTGGTTGCACAAAAATTTGTTTGGGTGCACCATATAAAATCTTACTACAGTCCTCTTCTAAGATTGAATCTGAAATGGGAGCTAACTTTAAAATATTAAACAAGTACTACAGCAAAGATTTTATCATTTTTCTAACACTCAGATGCCAAGCATATCCTGTATACTATTATACATTTAATGTACAAAAATGCCTACAAAAATATTTGGGTGCGAAAAAAATTGGGTACACAGCTCCAAATTTGGGTGCACTAAGGTGCACATGCACCCAGTATTTTGAGCCCTGGCCATGTGTATGGTGGCGAATGTATTCATTATTAGAAAGTCGACGACCCCCATGAATTTTCAATTCATGACGTTTCATTTGGCTCTACGGGGAAGCTGCATTAAGTGCCTATCTGCCAGCACCATATGGTCGCTGACGCTCGTTGGGTGTCGGAAATTATCTTTCCATCATAATTGCCTGTCAGAGTCCCCGGAGCTACGTGTGAATATCACTGACATCATCAAATGGCACGTTGGTTCCACTATGCAAATGAGCAATAATTTTTCACGCGCAGCTATCATTTAAGGAATGTTACTGTCACTATGAGGATTTGCAAATAAACTACACACGGAATACGGATATGCATGATTGAAAGGAGTGTAATGTCTAATAAAACATCTGTTCCTGCTGGATTGTTTGCTTATATACATGTATGGCCATGTTGATTTGATTATATGGATGACATCCTCTGGGAACCCCAAAACTGATGCGCGCGTGCGAATAAAAAAAAAGTTTTGCAAAAAAAAAAGTTGCTTTCACTATGAAATCTACGTGGTCATGAAGGTTGAACAAATGCACGATTTACAGTATGGTTGAAAACTTTTTTTTTGTTGGAAACGGCCGAAAATTCATGCGCGCGGATGTCATCCATATAATCAAATCAACATGACCTATATTAGAACCTGATCACATTTGTTGTATACAAGTTGTGGTATGACAGTGATGTCATAGAATTTGGAATTCAAAGTAGGCTGTGAAAACCACCCACAATTGTCTAATACAAGCCTTTTTGCGTAACAAGACAGCTATATTTTGTACCTTTAAGTTTATACACGTCTATACAATTGTACATGGAATCCCTTAGTTTTGGATCATACAACAAATGTGGCCAGCCATTAGATATTCCAAACATAATTTGTCACTCTTGAAAGTGTTGTATATCGGTCCATGTCTTCACACTCAAGACAATATTATGATATTATACTAGGAACTACCATCATGGCTCAAGTTCCAATGTGCATATAAGCGTGCAGTGCGTAGTTGTAATGTGGACTCAAACTAAATTACTCACACAAGAACAAGAATAGAAAGAGACACCGTTGTTATTTGAAAGTTACAGAAAGCAATAAAACGTACATTACACGAGATGTCAACAATAGGAATATTACTTACAGTCCGTCTTGCTATTATATATAATAATATTGCCTGAAGCAAATACATGCAGATAGGCTCATTACATCCTGACATAAACTTAAAACGTATATATTTTCCCTACTGATGATATTTCAAACGAGTCATTGCGGTTGCTGTGTCTCACATTTATATATGGAGATGATATGTCAAGATCACAGAGTACAGTCAGCTTTGTTCTTGTTAGCCTGGGGGCAAGTTCCATGTTCAGAGAAGCAAAATGAGAAAAGACATAACTCTCATGAGGTGCAGACTATGCATGTAACCAGCGGGCTGTTGCTCTGATATTTGAACTTGATGATGTACGGTTGAATTCGTATCTGATAGTTTCCGGTACTCTAGGCATTATCATTTCCATCTGTATAGTACGCTTTGTATAGTCATATGTCATTGAAAAGTCAATGCCCTCATAACTGTTGCATAAAGATTATATGTAAGCCATGCAGTGGACACGTTTGAATTCGTATCTGATGGTTCTTGGTACTCTATGCATTACCATTTCCATCTGTACAGCACGCTGTTATAGTCATATGTCATTGCAAAGTCAATGCCCTCATAACTGTTGCATTGGGCCTGTCGGAAGATATTGTTAAACCATGCAGTGACTCTATACATTACCATTCCCATCTTTACAGTACACTGTTGTAGTCATATGTTATTGCAAAGTCAATGCCCTCATAACTGTTGCATTGGGCCCATCAGACTGAAGATAGTGTTAAGCCGTACAGTGGACATGAAGCTCAGTTGTGCAGTGTTATCGCTTTATCTTGTAGGATAATGACCTTGCTTCATATGCAGTGGCTTAACAAGCTAGACAACATCACCAGACAGCTAAATATGTATAAAGCTCCAGATATATGCATTGATTTATTCCCGTCCATTAATGTACATTACCAGCTTGACCTTATAGTCAAGAACAGGTGGCATTTAGAAGCCATCTGGCGACTATTATCTCAATCATGGAGCATTTATCAGCTATATTATACTTTCTACTTGACTGTACATTATGTGAAGATGAACGCCAAGAGCTATTCGATACTTTACAATTAGACAAGATATGTAAGAAAATGTCAAAGCAGGACACGTTTAAACACTTGATGTCATGCAAGAACGAATGTATAGCAGACAAACTATGTAATTGTGTTTCCAGATGTTTCAAAAAGAGAGAAGAAAGGGCAACTAACAGTAAATGATAGGTAGTATATATAATATACATAGTATTGTTGTATTGTTGTAATGTATAGATTCCTAGCGCTTAGCATTAGAGTACAGCATTCCAGTATGCAATACTCATGTTTTGCATACTGCATATCCTCTTGTGCATTTAGCCCATCTGGGCAAGAACATGCGATAAAATCATTATACACTTATACTACACAATATTCTGACCGGTGAATATGACAAACTAGAAGTCATCTAAGAAGCTATATTTGAAATTCTTGATTCAACACACCTGCTGAGCTTTGGCACATTAATTGAAAGTGTGTGGATGGCGTTCAGCACCAAGGACAGGTACTATATTTCTGCATGTATGAGTATGTGTGTGTTTGCGCGTGCATAGGCATATTTAACTTTAACGTTTCAGAGTGAATAAATGTGTTTCTGAACTTATCCTTTGAAGGAAAATGCTGCTGTACAGTTATGTCTGGTAGGATGGTATTTTTGGGTCCCCAAAGCATGTTTTGTTTTGCTCTTCCCCAGTTTGCTCGCAAATCAAGAGAGGCAGTGGCGGCGTGTACGCTATATTCGGCATGTACGACATGCCTGCACTGGACGCAATACAGGCCTACTCCAGGAACCTACAGGTGAAGTTTTGGCTAGCTTGTATAATGTAATATTGTTACTAATTACTTAAATGTTATTGATTGATGCTAAATGTGCATTCTACTCTTCAAAACCTGGCAAATGATAATTCGGTAATTCGATAATGATATATTTTTTATGTAATATTGTTTAATGAGGTTATTGATTGACGTTGAATGTACAAAAGTTACTTTAATGACGCTTATTGTATTATCATTATTATTAGATGGCAAATGTTAGTAAAACAATGTTGTTTTTTTCAAAGTAGTTAGAAGTGCATGTAGTAGTTAAAATGTTTGTATTTTGCAATGTATGTAAGAGGACTCCACGAAGAGTAGTGGTTGTATTGTCACTAATTGGAGGTTCCTTAATTAAACAAACCTACAGGTGACCTCTGACCTGGTTAATGACCAGACTGTCTCTGACCATGGTGACTGGTGTTCACTGTTACATAATGTTGCAATTTTATATTAGGAGGGATTTAGACTCCTGTCACCATATATATATGTGAATGTGTTTGAGTAAGAATTAACAGAGCAGACCATATGCGAAGGTACACTTTAAGCATTTGCATAAAAATGCAAATGTTACCTTTCTAGTATTCTATCATGAAAGTTCATCTGTGTTGGTAGTTACATGTTTAAAGTTAAAACTTTTGGTCCAACACAAAAAATTCTCTCACCTAGAGCTTTTGACCAGTCACTCTGGTCTTCCTCACACGTCAAAGAAGCCACGTGACAAGCTTCACCGGCCAGGGTCAGTCTACTGAGGAAGACCAGAGTGACTGGTCGAAAGCTCTAGGTGAGAGAATTTTTTGTGTTGGACCAATAGTTTTAACTTTCTAGTATTCTATATATATTTAGTGCATTCCATAACCTACAGGTGAGCTTCATCACTCCCAGCTACCCGCCGGCCTACGACAAACGGTCCGACTTTGTCGTCTACATGAGACCCAACCTGGCCCGTCCTGTGGTGGACCTCATCAACAAAGTCTACAAGTGGGACTCCTTCACCTATATATATGACGATGACGAAGGTAAGACGTCTGCTCACTGCAGTTTTCCCCAAACACATTCTGTATTGGTATAGCCGGTATATAAAACGCAGCCCTTTGGCATAACACACCAGCTTTTGTATCTGTATAGTCGGTATAACCGCCCTTCGGTGTAACACACCAGCTTCTGTATCTGTATAGCCGGTATAACCGCCCTTCGGCGTAACACACCAGCTTCTGTATCTGTATAGCCAGTATAACCGCCCTTCGGCATAACACACCAGCTTCTGTATCTGTATAGCCGGTATAACCACCCTTCTGCATAACACACCAGCTTCTGTATTTGTATAGCTGGTATAACCACCCTCGGCGTAATACACCAGCTTTGCAGGCACGCGGCGCAGTGGCAGCTAGCTATATTACACCAAACAACTTGTTACACTCAACATTTAATTACAGGAGTAACAAATTGAATGTTTGTAGCTTTCTAGTGATGATGCCTCAACTGTGCTTAGTGGTAATGAGTTCCACTCTACGATATCATAGTTCTTGGAAAATACTTAAAGTTTTTGAACACATTAAAGAAGATTGATCTGTTTGGATGTCTTCGCAATCAACAATGTATGCTAGAAGAATATTCAATTCCACATATCGTCAGGCCAAGAAGATATCCCTGTAGGCTTGATAGTGTGGGTGTAACTGTAATCTATTACCTGCATGACCTGTTGTATCAAGGCGTCAGGCAGTCTGACTGCTGCTCCTGTAATTGCTTTGCTCGTATTTCAGACTTAATCTTTTAGGGTCTCCAAATATGTCATTCAGAAGGCTAAAGGTAGTGTTTTCTCACTAATGAGGCATGATTCCGTAATTAGAAGTCACCGATGATAACGTTAAAACTTGATCATTTTTAGAGACGAAATTGAGTTTGAACCCGTGTTACTGGCTCATTTGCACATTTGTAATCAGTCTGAAATGTAAAAAGTTCACGAGAACAGTTACAGTTGACTGGAAATCATAATACAGATAACGGAAAAAACAGTTGTGACTCCCAGGTTCCTTTTCCACCTTACGTTCGAATCTCAACTATTTGTCTAAGGGTGGTCACATTCAACCATTTTGATGTGGTCACAGAATTTGCAAACAAGATGTGACAAACACAGCAGCCAAAGGTAAATTAAAATATATCATTTTTCCCTCACAAGACAACTGAATTTTGTGCTCTGAACGGCAATCTCAGAAAATGCCCTCAGCTTACAATTGCCGCACCCTAACATGATTTATTCCTGATGGACCACCAAATGTGAAACATTGTAAAGTTCCATTCAACAATTAGAGCATCTCCTTGCAAAGGTGACTACAAGGTCAGAGAGAACGTTTCTCATCAGCAATCCTCCATTTTGCTGATCTCCCCATGAAGAACAAAAGGTCAATCACAAACGCCCGCCGGAGGCTGGGGTGATCGCAAAAACGATGAGGTGCACAAATGCAGTACTGACACATCGTATATGAAACAGCAGATGGCCTAACCTCTTCCTGTGGGGTCATGTCTTGAAATGATACGTGATTGGAATTATACTATTGGATCCTGCTCTTTTTATAATAGGCGTACAAAAGTTTTTCATGATATCTGTACTACATTAGCTATTTTACTCATGTTCTATTCAGACACTCCTATAAAATAAATCGCCTCTTGTAGGCAACTTCAGCAACCAGATATAGTTTTGGAAAAAGATGTTTCAGGTAGCATTCACATAACCTTTCATCAGTTTATTTATGGAACACTATCAGCAGTACCAGTGTACTTTTCTTTGTACTGAAGCACCATCAGCAGTACCAATGCATTTTCCATGGTACTGAAACACCATCCAACACTTCTTTCTTGCTTTGAATAAATCTCACTGTGACACTGGTGAGATCTCAAGATCAACAAGTTTATATCTGCAAACTATTAATTATTTGCACATTGTACAGGTCTGGCAACATTGGAACAAGTCATGGATCTGGTTCAAATGAAGGACACGGAGGTAATCGCACGGAAGTTGGGTGGTGCGGACAACGCCAACGCAACCATCACCACCATCGACGGCGAGGGGGAGAGGAGAGTCATCATCGATCTGGACAGGAGGACCACAGAAGTCTTCATGAAAAAGGTGTGTTACAGTATAACATAGCACTTTGACAGAACGTACTGTACCTGCGCAAAACCTGTAATGTACTGTGAAAAGCAATTTGGCAGAACGTCTCATATAAGGTCAAATTCCCGTATATAAAGTCTGTAGTTCCCAAATGTTCTGTTGGAAAAAATATTGTCTGCAACACGCAAAATTCTGATGCAATATTGACCAAAAATCCAACAAAAACCGTGAAAAATGGGGGTTTTGCACAGGCACAGTGCGTTCTGCAGACATGCTGTCTAACATCAGGATGTATGTCTGACTGAGTAGTCTCCAAGCAGATCCTAGGGAGGCAATAAGACGGCATCAAATTGGCCAGGCAGTATCCATTGGCCAGAGAGGGTCCAGTCCAATATGCCACCCAAGGTGGTGGGAGTAGCAACAAAAAAAGGGTAATGAACCTCTGCTTGGAGAGTAGTATGTCAGTATGTGACAGTTGCGTTGAAAAAAGACATTTTGATTTTTGGAATGATCCTGGCTATCAAAATTATCAACAGTACTTATATTATGCATTTTCCATGGTACCGAAACACTATCAGCAGTACTAATGCATTTTCCATGGTACTGAAACACTATCAGCAACACCAATGCACTTTCCATGGTACTGAAACACCATCAGCAGTACCATTGCACTTTCCATGGTACTGAAACACCATCAGCAACACCAATGCACTTTCCATGGTACTGAAACACCATCAACAGTACCAGTGTACTTTCCATGGTACTGAAACACCATCAGCAGTACCATTGCACTTTCCATGGTACTGAAACACCATCAGCAACACCAATGCACTTTCCATGGTACTGAAACACCATCAACAGTACCAGTGTACTTTCCATGGTACTGAAACACCATCAGCAGTACTAGTTCATTTTTCTTTCTACTGCAAACCATCAACAGTACCAATGCATTTTCCATGGTACTGAAACACCATCCAACACTCATTTCTTGCTTTGAACCAATGTGCTAACAACCAGTGATCTGTTAATATGCCATTATGGGAACAATCATGAATACTGTCTTTGCATGTAGGTAGCTAATGCCATCAAAAAACTCAATGTTTTTCTCTTAACATTGTATATTTCCAGATAAAGGAACGGAACATGTGGACATCTTACTACCACTATATCTTTATGAACCTGGTACGTAGTACTTATTTTCATGTATTGCCATGGATGTCAAATTATTTAGGACAAGGATTTAGCTTTTTATAACCTGCTATAATTTAATGTATTCTTGTTGGTGCCATCTTGATTTCATATCTTTGCAACGTAACCAATGATTGTCTTGCAGTTATCATGAAAGTTCATCTGTGTTGGTAATAACATTAGTAAAATGTTAAACTTTATTCCAACACATAATTACACAGAGATCGAATCCTCAACGACCACTGTCGCCTTCATCAGAATAATTAATGACCAATCACTTCAAAACGTAATCTCGCGAGAGTTACAGTTACATACATGTGATCTTATTCACATGAGACTTTATGGATACTTGACATAAGCAATTGATCAAAAGTGCCAGGGACGTTGAAAATTTGATCTCTGTGTAACTCTTGTGTTGGAATGAAGTTCAACATTTTACTATAATTGCCTTGCAGGATTTCCATCTGTTGAACAAAGCAAACCTGACGTACGGGCAAGCCAAAGTCACCAGCTTCCAGATTGTTGACCCGCTGAGAGGTGACGGCAAAGACTTCCAGAAGATCGGCAAGAACATCGGGGTGAGACGCCATGGTCAACCTTAGCCTGTGTTAGACAATCCCTCACTGATAGGGACTGATTTTTATCTAATAATATTTATTTATTGAAAAAAGCAACAAGACATTACACTGTCTCTCAAGGCAGCAAAGCTGATATTAGAGAGTCAACATATAAGGACAAAACACATATAGCACATAATTTCAAGTACAGTGTGAAATACGAGAACAATCATAAAGACTTAACCTATATCATTCTAATTAAGTACATATATATATACATATTAAAAATAACGGAATATTAAAAATAACAGACTGATTTTATTCTATTCCAACATTTATTCCAAGACATGGCGACGTCACACTCAAGTTTTTTCAGCTTATTCTCATGAACGGACAAGAGACATGCTCATTTTTCACCTGAGTAAAGTGAGGAAATTCGTGTTTCACCTGAGTAAAGTGAGGAAATGCGTGTTAAGTGCCTTAAACAAGAGCACAAGATTAGTGGTACGCCAGGATTTGAAATTGGGAGCTATTGATTCTGAGTCAAGCACTTTGTAGTTACACAGCAGGATCCCACTAATTGGACTGCTTGGTCCTCCTGAGAGCTTGTGGCCATACACTTCTAACGCGAGATAAACATTTTTTTCCCCAAAACTACTTTTAAGAGCTCTGGGATCTTTATCACAATAAAAATCAGTCCTATATGAGCCAAGAATTCTTTTGGCAATGCAAATTAGTCCTAAATAGTATACTCCTAAATAGATGATGTACATGTAGCTGTTTCTTAATATACTGATCATAGAACATTGTTATTTTTTTTTTTCAGTTCAAAGCAGCTTTAAGTTATGATGCTGTTGGGATCATCTCTTATCAGTCCCATATGAGCCAAAAATTCTTTGTCACTATCGAATTCAGTCCTAAGTAGTATACACCTAAATAGATGGTGTACATGTAGTTGTTTCTTACCGGTAACATACTGACCATAACACATTCATTTGTTATTGTTTTTTCAGTTCAAAGCAGCTTTAAGTTATGATGCTGTTGGGATCATCTCTCATCAGTCCCATATGAGCCAAGAATTCTTTGTCACTATCAAATTTAGTCCTAAATAGTATACTCCTAAATATATGGTGAATATGTAGCTGTTTCTTAATATACTGATCATAGAACATTGTTATTTTTTTTTCAGTTCAAAGCAGCTTTAAGTTATGATGCTGTTGGGATCATCTCTCATCAGTCCTATATGAGCCAAGAATTCTTTGTCACTATCAAATTTAGTCCTAAATAGTATACTCCTAAATATATGGTGTACATGTAGCTGTTTCTTGATATACTGACCATAGCACATCGGTATGATTATTTTTTTTGCAGTTCAAAGCAGCTCTAAGTTACGATGCTGCTGGGATCATCTCGAGCGCCTTTAACAGTCTGAAGCAGGACAGAACTGACATCAACCTGTCGGACGACACTTCTCCCGCGTGTGAGAAAGGAGACAACATCTGGAGGTTTGGGGATAGAATCAGAAGCAGTCTGCAGAAGGTGATCCACATGCACATAGCAACAAAGTTTCATTGTCTTCTCTTCATTTTGCTCTTTCCCATCTGGTTTGTGTAGAGTACATTAGAGTATAGACCTCAGTGATGATGAAACCAAACATATCTGTACTTTCTTTACCCATCAATTTTAGAATTACATGTACATGTTTGTCTTCTAGCTTCTAAACTAAAAGAATGTTTTATGATAATGAATAGTCAGGACAAATTTAAAATGGACAGTCAATTACATGTGAAAGAATTTCAAAGCACATTTCAATCAGTCAAGTTCAGGCAATAGCAACTGTAGGAGTTACACACACTATTATAATTGCAATATTAATGCTTTTCGTTCAAGGTGTTGATCATTTTGTGTGATCAAAGCTTATCTGTGTTGGTAGTCACTTGATTAAAGTTATAACTTTAGATCCAATACAATAAAGTTCTCTCACCTTGGAGCTTTTGACCAGTCACTCTGGTCTTCCTCAGTAGACTGACCCAGTGAGGCTTGTCACGTGGCTTCTTTGAAGTGTGCCGACAACACTGGGTCAAAGGTATCTGGTAGACGATGTTGTCCCCCATTGCGGTTGAGTGACATTTTGTGTGATGTCTTCACGTTGTTTGATGCTTGATTGTTGCAGGTTAAGACCATGGGAGTGACCGGCTGGATCCAGTTTGACCGGTTTGGTCAGCGTGAGAACTACACGGTGCACAGTCTGGAGCTACAGCGCCGCCTCATGGTCCCGGTACGTGGTTAGGGCTGTATTTTATCTAAAACACTGCCCTTTGCATAGGATAACCAGATATCTAGTAATAATTAGCCTCTACCAGGCTTCGGGAGGCGGCTGGAAGAATAGAAATTGTCCAAATAGAGAGAGATAACATGCCGGGGGAGTTTGTCCGCTAGAGAGTACAGTTTTGGGTGCTGCAAGCTGGAACACTTTTTTCTAGATCTCATATGACTTACTTTAAGACTTTCCCTTGTGACTTTCTCCTGTGGGTCCCAGTGGGTAATCTCTGTAATGTACTAGTATTGAAGAACAGATTGAGGTGGGAAATTTTCATTGTTAGTGTCTGTATCTCTATCGGTATAGCCGGTATAACCGCCCTTCGGCGTAACACACTAGCTTATCTACAGAAGTTTCAGCACCGAGGACAGTGCCAAGGCCAATTTGTCTCAGGCAATTACTGTGTCAAAGATGATTGTTTTATTTTGTAGGCATATTTGATGAATCACTCTGGTCTATATTGGTTAGTTTTATGACATCAGGTAGATATGACTGTAGCTGTGGCTATATGATATTGATTAATATCAAAGGTACCACAAGTAAATTTCATATATTCTTTTTCTATTGTAGAGAAAGATGTACTATCTAAAAACTTTTCCACACATTGCCCATTATACAGCACAAGGCCTTCTAATGCCCTAACTTGCATCTGTCTTTATTAGGTTTGGAGATGGAGGAATTCCAAACTGACGAAGGTGGAAGTAAACATACCGAGGCCGTCGACCAAACCTCCTGCTCTGGGAGACAGAGTCTTACGTGTCACGACCATCTTTGTGAGTCATTCTTACCACATTGTCTGTCAAATAATCCAGTAATAATGTAGGGTAATTTCAATGAAACATTAACAGCTTTACAACCAGACAGGATTGCTAGCTATTCCGTAGTGTTAGTGTTCAGTACCAGGGACAGGAGTGGACTTTGGGAGGACAACTTGTAAAGGCGTTGATACACCTGTTTTGTCCTCCCTTCCACTTGTTTTTGCATGTGGTAAATTCAAATAAAGAAATAAAGAAGAAATAAAGAAATAGAGTGCTAGCTATCTTGTAGTGTTAGCACGGTATCTGTTACTTTTAGTATTCTTTGTTACCAGCTTCAAATGCTCTACTACTACTACTACAACTACTTACTGTTACCATTCGAGGGAGAGCCACATTTTGATACTTATTTTTTTACCAAACAGGAATCGCCGTACTTGATGAACAAAAGTGACGAGGAAATTGCCAAATGCCCGCCTGGCCGATCCACCTGTCAATATGAGGGGTATGCTGTAGACATGCTGGAAAAAATCGCAGCTATTGTCAACTTCACTTACAAAATCCACATCGTCGCAGATGGAAAGTACGGTTCAGAAAATGAAACAACTGGCAAGTGGAATGGGATGGTTGGCGAGCTGATTGAAGGGGTAAGACATTTGTGACATTCTGTTTTTGCATTTTACAGGGGGATTTCATGGGGGGATCCCGACAATGTTCAACGCTGAATTCGGAAACCTCTCGATTAATTCCAAGTGGCTACAATGCATTACAAAGAATTAAAACGGTGAATACGCTCTACATTGAATTTGAGTGGTCCGTCGACGCTCTACATAGAATTAAAATGGCCCATTACACTCTACAGAATAGGGCATGTGGGCCCCCTTTTAGGACCTCTGTAGTCATAGTTGCACACATTACTTAGTGGGAAATATCTGGAAATAACTCTTACAATGATCACTAGACAAAAATTGCTTTAAGTTGAAAATTGTTTGTGCGTCTTCTTTATCCTGATTTCTTGAGACGTTTTTTTGTCGTCCTGTAGAAAGCGGATCTCGCCATTGCTCCGCTGACCATCACCTTGGTTCGAGAACGTGTGATCGACTTCTCCAAACCGTACATGAGCACAGGCATCAGCATCATGATCAAGAAGCCACAAAAATCCAAGCCTGGGGTCTTTTCCTTTCTAGATCCGCTGGCGTACGAAATCTGGATGTGTATTTTGTTTGCCTACATAGGCGTTAGCGTAGTTCTATTCCTCGTGAGTCGATTCAGTCCATATGAGTGGCACCCTGCCGAATCGTGCGGGGTTGGGTCTGCGGAAGAGGAGCAGACCAACGATTTCGGCATATGGAACAGCCTGTGGTTCTCACTGGGCGCCTTCATGCAGCAAGGCTGCGATATCTCGCCAAGGTTGGTGTTCTCATTTTGAACACCAGAGATCTCCAGGACACTTAGACAATAGACAGAATAGACCAAATTTTCTCCATCATTCCCCTGGCCCATAATCATTCATGTACATTTGTAATTTTCATTTCTGACGGTGGCTTGAACTCAGTGACTGCCTGGCCAAGTCCTACTAGCCGCCATCTTACCTGAACTAAATTCATGATTTCAACATATACTGAACCCCAGCTGGTATAGAGCTGTTCTGTTTTGTCTGTAATATTAAAAAAAAGTGTCCTGAAAATCTCTCATGTTCCTCTTTAAGCTCTTAATGAGGTTTATCAATATTCGTGTTTAAAACAACTTGAAGATTTCATCTTTCCAAGCTTTCAAATTTTTCCCCAAAACAATGGAATACAAAATGATGACGCATCTATAATATATTCCGACTTACACATTTATTTCAGATCAATTTCCGGAAGGATAGTGGGAGGAGTTTGGTGGTTTTTCACCCTGATCATAATCTCCTCCTACACCGCCAACCTGGCCGCGTTCCTGACGGTGGAACGTATGGTCACCCCCATCGAGTCTGCTGATGACCTCGCCAAACAGACTGAGATCCGATATGGGACAGTGAAGGCTGGATCGACGGAGGCGTTTTTCAAGGTAGGTGTCTTTAATGATAGTAATGATAATAACTGTTATTGACTGTAAATTAGCAGTAGACAAACTCTAAACTACAATTGACCAAATCAGCGTATGTCTCTGCACAGTTCAATCCATCTTCGTTGGTCTCTTGCTAAGTCAGATATATCAGTGCGTGAGACTCATGCTTTGAGTATCATTATTGCTTGTTCTTATTTTGTTGAAGTTTGAGGTTGTTTTACTGTTATGTCTGTTATGTCTGTGGCGTCGGGTGGTGTAGTGGTTAGAGCAATAGACTGTGAACCGGGAGACCTGGGTTCGATTCCGAGTCGCACCCGGGACATGTCTGAACATGCGCCCCGACGTTGTGCCCTTGGGAAAGGCACTTTACACGAATTTCCCCACTCCACCCAGGTGTGAATGGGTACCTAACTTCGGTTGGGGAAAGTCATATTGAGGTCACCTTGTGGTGCCGAATGGCAGCCGCACAGACCCTTGCGACAGTTCCACAAATAATTGTGGAACAAATATGTGTATCATTTGTATTATTTGAATGTTGTAATTGTTGTGATTTGTATTGATTATTATGTGATACCCTGCATCAATTCAGCCGTATAAAGGCTCAGCGACTGCACGGGTACTGTTTGGACAATGAAAAACCATTAAAAAAAAAAACTGTGTGTCACAGCTACTATAATCCCGAGTTTGTCTTGACTAGCAGAACTGTGTGGTTCATCATCATCGGTCGGCTGCTGCGCAGGCGACTGCAAGGTCCCTCCACTGCCCCTTGTCGCTAGCAAGGTTGGCGATCTGCTTCTCAGTTAGCTGGTTGTGCTCATCTCCCAGTAGTTGCTGGACATACTTGAAGTAGGAGGTAGGCTGTCGGCCTCGCCTGCGTCTGCCATGAGAGGGCACGTAGAGGGCGTACAGTGGTTAAACCATGGATTAAGTGCATAGAAAAACTGTGTGGCAAATGAGTAGTCTCATCAGGGTGGTAAGTTTTTGAGTAAGGCCATACCAATTTAATTTGTTGGTTCTCGGATTTTTTCAGAAAAAATATGAAGCGACAGGGCAAAAAAATAAAAAAATAAAAACAGGTCTAGGCATCCAATTATAGCCCAAAATGCTACAATAGGAGCCTTGAAGTCAACATAAAGGGCTGTGTTAATATTTAAACAATAAATTTTGAACTTTTTATCAAACCACTGCATTGATTGATGGAAAAACTGTAACAACTAGGAGGAAGGAATGGCCTTTCCTTAACTTTCCTCAGCATTTTTAGCTGATTCAGAACCAGATTTTTTTTTTTTTTTTGCAAATTGGAAAAAAATGAAGAGGCGAATCCGAGAACCAACAAATTAAATTGGTGTGGCCTAAAGTAACCAAGTGTTTTATTCACAGCCAACTGTCACCTGATTCCTCAGGGCAATTCTGACTGGTTCACATCGCACTGCAGCACAGGTTTCACTGCTATAGATGAGGAAGGTGACAGACGGCCACCAAAACGTTGGATGTGAATAAAACACTTGGTTGTATATTAAAAGGAGTCTCTTTACTCAGTCTGCAATGCAAATACTACTTGTTACAGTCTTCGACCATTCCCGTATACCAAAAGATGTGGAACTTCATGAGTAAGGCAGAACCGAGCCCGCTGATGGACAGTAACACCAAGGGGATCACGCATGTGCGTGAGTCCAAGGGAAAGTACGCCTTTCTGCTCGAGTCGGCGATGAACGACTACATCGCACAGCGCAAGCCTTGTGACACCATCAAGGCTGGATCGAACCTGGACTCCAAGGGTTATGGCATCGGCATGCCTAAAGAGTCACCATACAGGTAATTTATTTATTTTTTGTGTATTTTATTGAAATTGCAACAATACAATACACGCGGAAGAGACTAGAGGTTAAGCTGTTGCTGGTGTTGTGTTCCACACATAGAAATGGATACTGGACAGCCAATACTCATTTTCACTTTAGTCAAGTGGGGAAAGCCGTGTAAAGTACCTTTCCCAAGGGCACAAAACCGGTGGCATGTCAGGACTCGAACCCAGACCTCTTGATTCGGAGTCGTTCACGCTGCCATTGCTCCACACGACCCCAGGTAATTTAGTGTTAGGCTATTGTATTTATTACCTCTGCCGGTATGGAAGTATTGTATTTTTTTGGGAGGGGGGATGTCTGTGGGCTTGTGTGTATGCTTGTCCAGACAGAGTAGGTTGATACACATGATTGGGGAAGATTGACAGGCAGAATGAAAAGAGGTCAAAACATCAACCACAGGAAAACCCAACATACGTTCCGGAAGTCTGACACATGTGATTCACAATGTTTTAGTTCTTGTTAGGTTCTAGCATATATTATAACTTTTTATATATTTTCTTTGCCAAACGAAACGTAGCCTTAGATTGACTTTGCTTCATTCTACCTAATCAATTGTAACCTTGTGTAATCTCTTGTCATTGGGATGTTGAAAAATAATGTTAAAATCTTACATTCTATAGAGTTGTGTACACTTATTTACTTACTTAGTTTGAGCCAATTCAGAAAGTCCTCCTCCACAGCACTTGGTCTTCCATGGCCCTTCGCAATTCGTTGGTATCATGTTGTGTAACATAGCATACGATTTCTAAACTATTTGCTCTCCTTCAGTAAGATAATTCTTTCAATCAGTGACTATTAAATCCTAAGGTACATACCTCCGAATTTTCGACGACTAGTCAGTTCGTCTTGGTCACGGAATAATCCTAGTCTCGCAAGATAACGCGAGACTAGGACGAGACTTGCGTGGATCTTCTGCCCCCCTCTGCCTCCTTGCGAGACTAGGATTATTCCGTGACCAAGACGAACTGACTAGTCGTCGAAAATTCGGAGGTATGTACCTTAGGATTTAATAGTCACTGATTGAAAGAATTATCTTACTGAACTTGTACTATACGTGACTGATGAATCTCTTCAACGATATTTGCTCTCCACTTTATCAGACACAAGATAACCCTTGCCGTACTGAAGTTAAGGGAGGACGGCGTACTGCAAAATCTGGAGAATACGTGGTGGTACGACAAAGGGCAGTGCGGCCCCGTGGAAAGCACAAAGAAAGTACGTCATCGCCAAAAGTAGTTACTCAAGCAACTGGATATGATTTTGAAAACGTCAGACGTTTCAGCTAGTATCCACTAGCTTTCGTCAGTGACTGAGAGACCAGAGAGGAAATGCAGGTTTATAAGCACAACCTATTGATTGATAAAGTGAAGACAAAATTTTTTTTTTTGGAAGTCGAAAAAGGAACAAAAGTCAGCTGGAACGTCTGACGTTTTCAAAATCATATCCAGTTGCTTGAGTGACTGTTTCTTGACCTTTGACTTATATATAAACAATTTAAGGTTATACCCATACTGGGATTGTTATACCCATACTTGGAAACAATCATGTGGCTTGTTCTATATTGATGTTGTTCTAGGAAAGAAGCTTTCAGCGTGGAACTTCCTCCTAAGAGGTGGTGTATGGAGGAAGAAAGGGTGATTTGCTTCAGTGGAATTGGCAAAATTTGTCCTTGCTGAGGAAATTCGAAGTGGAGGCACTAGCAAATGAAATTCTACAGAGATAACAGAACAATGTGCCTCTTGGGGTGCATCAGCATACATTTCCCCATATAATGTTCACCAAAATGATGCCTAAAAATGATAAACGCAACCCATTAACATTGTGCTGTAATGTAGTTAAAATGAGTCATTTGTGGATGGATAATTGCCTTGCAATTTTGCAGCTCTTCATTTTTCATTTGCCAATTATATCAGAACAAAATTGCACAAATCAGCCTCATATCATATTTTGGCTTTATGAAATGTAATACCACTTCATTACTCTTGTTGTTAATGACTGACTCTTCCGCACACAAACATACCTGTCCTTGGTGCTGAACACCATCCACACACACAGGCACCTGTCCTTGGTGCTGAACACCATCCACACACAGGCACCTGTCCTTGGTGCTGAACACCATCCACACACACACAGGCAACCACAGCTGTCCTTGGTGCTGAACACCATCCACACACAGGCAAACACATCGTTCTGTCCTTGGTGCTGAACAGATGTTTGTGGTTGGAATGTTTACATGTTCCTAATGTAGTTTTATGTCTGGCCTCCCTGTAATCTAGTCTTTTTACTTGTGTAGTTGCTGAGATTTTATCTGATGTGTACTCATGTTCCACAAGCAAAGGGTTCAACGAAGGGCTCTTCCCTATCTTACAGGGGGAGACAAGTGCTCTCAGTCTCAGCAACGTGGCCGGTGTTTTCTACATTCTGGTGGGAGGTCTGGGCCTGGCCATGATGGCGGCCCTGTTGGAGTTCTGCTACAAGTCCAAAGTAGAAGCCAACAAATCAAAGGTTACACATTTTACCGGCACATTGTATTCTGCAAATCTGCCCTGCTTACTGTTTGGTCTTCTTACTTAACGTTGACATATTTCTGAACGGTTATCTCATGACTAATTTAAGCATTCTCCTGTGCATAACAGTCTCTCGGCAAATAGATGCCTTGCTTTAGCTCTGCTAATTTGAGTTCACATTTCCTTTTTGGTAGAGTGACCACTAACCAACTGTCAGCCAATTAGAAAATTGTCTAAATGTCTGATTGCCATTTGTTCCAAGAGAGTGCACTGAAAGGATGGGTTGTATTCAAACGTTTCACGGATGGCTCCTGCTATTTTTTACCGAGGAAATCATGACAAACGATGTCACGGCACCACATCCAAACCCAGATTACCCTTCTAATGCCACAATCGCAGCCATTCATCTGGTCAAGACGATGATAAAACAACTGTATCTTTGCACCATGCCTGCTCTAAATGTATACTACCTTGAGTATGCATATGGGCAACTAAGGCGGTGGAAATGACTGGTATAATGGCAGAATGGCATTACAACCAGTGTCAGAAATAGCTGCTGGCTATTTATAGACGAAGATTGGTAGTTTGTAGGATTGACCCAATTTTGCGGTAATCGATTGTCAAAGTACATGATGATTCATGGCTGTTAAAGATGCGGCTTATTTAGGCTCAAAGAGACTGTTTCCCATTTTGTTTGTCAAAGTCGTTTATTCATCCTCTTTTTCACGCACCATCTTGCTTTGCGCGTTTTAGTGGCTCTTCTTGTATCAAAAAAATTATAACAAGTTGGTTATGAATCCCATCTGGGATGTTCCAAATAGGACCCATTTTGGTTAGAGCGTCGTTTATTCCAAAGTGCGCTCTACACAATCATGCACGTAAACACAGGTTATGCTGAAGACCTGTTTGGGATATCCCAAATGGAACTAGAGCCCTATTTGGGATGATGACCTGTTATGCTGAAGTCACATTTCCAAACCGGGGCCCGGCCGGTGGTTTGTATGAACGAAAACTTAACAATTCATGTCAAGAATATACAGAAATAGTAGCCATGATTATCATTAAAAACTTTTCTGTGTTTTGTTGTCTTTTATATCGTAATTTTTGTTCCCAAAAGCTTCCTGGCCGGGCCCTTGTATGAATTGTGTCCTAAGACCATTACAGGGTACAGCAACTCTCATATCCTGCACATCTCACTTAAATGTCTGCGTCTGTCTTCTCCAAGGTAAAAGCCCGGATGTCGGTCAAAGGTGAGAACGGACGAGTTCCCTCTCCGACTGACCCGTTCCCGAAGTCCATGTCGTCTGTGCCCATCACCAGGCCCAGCGGTGTGAGTCTGTACGAAATGACCTACACTTAGACAGGCAACGGGAACATCATCAACATCACAGACATCACGGAAGGACAGTGTTGATAGAGTGGCTAAAAAAAGGAAACTTTTGCAGGATACAACAAATGTAATTTGTAAGCTATACGAGGAGAGGTGAAGGCTTTGAATGACGATCAGTCACGTACTAGGCAACACTTAGATAGAAGTTAACATCCGCAGCTTAAGATTGTGTTACCAACAGACCGTAGAGGAGATTTCCACGTCTACTGCAGCCCGAAGATAGGCTTTAATCCATGGCACGGCTATTAGGATGATTCTTACTACATAAGCAAGTGTTGTGACCAAAACTTGATTAGTCAACGTAGCATCCTTTAGTACTAGACGTGTCAGTGACCAGTAGGTAAAATGAGACTAGCACTCAAAAAACGTGTAAGAGAGCAACATGCTTGGCGTTAACAACATGCTTGGCATCTAAGTCAAGACGTCAATGTGTGTGATTTCGTACATGTTGTTTGGATTTCAATTAAGAACCCTGTAATAATGTTCAATTCAAAAATAATCATCTATGAGCACGTTGCATGCTGACAATATATACTGTATATCAACTGGTGTAGAAATGTGGCATCGTTATGTGTTCAGTTCTGCATGTGTTCTCGCAATGTCAATGTATACATACTCCAGAAACACAAGAACAAGGAATCAGAGATTCTAGACTCCCGGGAAATGAAGCATGCAATTCGCGGCCTCCTGAATTCCCCCATCTCCAAACTAATTTCTGCTGCCCAAAAGCTCTAGTAAAGCAATATATAGCTGCTTGCTGTAAGGCGAATTCATGATAGCCCTTGTACAGTGTACGCGTATGTATGGTATCACAAATTATAGTCAACTTGACGTGAGTGTTCAGATGTAATAACTTTGCACTCGAAATTGTTAGAAACCAAGAGTTAATAATGTGAAACGCCTGACTTTACCAAATTCTCACAATCCAATGGTCAGAAGTGTTCATGTTGTATCTATATTCAAAAATTGTCTTAGATGTTTGATATATAAATATATATATATAAATTATATATATATATAGCTAAATAAGGACTGTTTTGTGAGTCGTGAATTATGGGGTCACCATGTGTATATTATATCTTTGTTTGACCTATCTATTTTAATAAATGGAAGAGTAACTCAATGCCCTACGCGAATGTATTATCCTCATTGTCAGGCGATGTCGTGTTTGTAACCATCCTACGCAGTATAAAATGCACTGCACGCAAGTCAGAAAAGGAGACAGCCATCTACAAGATTTAAGGCTTTTCAGAATAATTTCTTTTTACTTTCGGTTAATCGATGTATCCGATGTTAAAACGTTGATTTTATAATGTGAAGAATCTGATTTGATTAGCATGAAGGAAACATTAGTGGAAAATAGGTATCGATTTGTGATTATACTTCAGAAATATGGATTTGTCGATGTCACCGTAATTATAGATGTATGTTATTTTTCTTTTATCAATTCGGATTCCAGACATGTCAGATTTAACAGTAAGTCTGCAGGTCCTGAAATTCCCGGAAAGCTGCCCAGTTTTCAACACACACACAGGTCTAGGATTTAATCCGTATCACCGGCAGATGGGGAACAATGCGTGAAGTACAGTAAAACAGCAACCAGCCGTGTCGAAAAGAAAATAGGCTTTATTCTAAGCTCCCGCCTGTCGCCCACTCCATTGTGCATCCTCATATACAGTCTCGCTGTGATGTGTCGGTTCCAGTACAGCGCACCATGGGTGACGTGATTCATCAGAACCCCACAGGCAATCGTACTGCCTGTGTAAGCAGATTCAATGGCTGCATCATTCAATCTATCATCCCTGCTACTTTCCCTCTACTTAATAGGATTACGGCGGCGACGAGTAGATGGAATGAAATCCAGCTAACTGCAGCTCCTTTGACGCGAAGAATGAAAGTGTTATGTCTTTCACTTGTCTTGAAAAATTGAGCAAAGATTATGAAATTCTGTGTTCAGCAGCTCGCTGATGTAACACTCTGCTAGAGGCGCGGACGCGATGCCACACCCAAATAACGTACGTCCGACCGGCCTTGTCCAAAACTATCAGATAGAAGAGAATAAGAACATGTTGGATGTTCAACTAACTGGCTACGTATTCTCTGTGGGAATTGTCTGCAACGTACTTGGAAACGGCGAGGACAATTTGTGATTACTGTAACATTAATCAGTTCGTTATTGCAACTCTAAAAAATACACGCTTCGGGTAGTTCGGTCTACCTTCCCCGCTTAACACGGACACAATTTAGTCTAATTTTATGGATGGATATAGAACGTCTCGGTGTATTTATCCAGGCAATATTTTGTGGCATTATTTCATCACCCGGAGGGGTGAACGTACTATACGGTCAAAACAATTTGGACTTTCCTCTGAAATGGAAAACATTACTGTGTAGTGGGTACTGAGGACCCTGTCCATAGAATCCTGGTAATAATGTCCTACGAGAATTCACCTGGCTTTAAATGATGCCAGACAAATCTACAAATTATTTCATTATGTAGTAGGGTAAACGTACTCTACGGTCAAAACAATTTGGACTTTCCTCTGAAATGGAAAAGATTACTCTGTGGTGGATAATAAGGGCCCTGTCCATCGAATCCTGGTAATAATGTCCTACGAGAATCCAACTGGCTTTAAACGATGCTAAACAAATCTGTACAAATTATTTCATTATCTAGCAGGGTAAACGTACTCTACGGTCAAAACAATTTGGACTTTCCTCTGAAATGGAAAAGATTACTCTGTGGTGGATAATAAGGGCCCTGTCCATCGACTCCTGGTAATAATGTCCTACGAGAATCCAACCGGCTTTAAATGATGCTAGACAAATCCGTACAAATTCACGACGCGCTGTTCTGAATACACAGAGGAGCACTTTCTTCAGCACTTATCATAGTGTTGAAAATAGCAAAAACGGCGTGACCACGGGTGGCACATAAGTACATAATACCTCTTCAAAGCCGTTCTAATACAGAAGGCGTGAAACAATATTCCGACGCGACGTGAGTTTTTCTAACAGCATGTCAGAAACTTTGGAGAAGACTCAGCGCGCGAAGCTGGCGTGGGGAGATAGACTTATTCTGGGAGGAAAGACGTAAGAAGTAAGACTCTAGCTGGGCGGTATCAGTGTCTGCCGATCAGGCCGTGTTTTCGACGTCCTACTGAGAAGATTACTGAAATACTCTTTCCAGATGAATACGCCCTGGGTTAATGTATATATTAAGAGAATTATTCCTCAGCAGACCAATATCCTTTGCATCGCAATCATCCTTCAGTAAGACATCTTCATACGCATGATTACAGTTTGGAACGTCGGTGAAGGTTAGACATCCAGGTAATTGTAACGTCGGTGAAGGTTAGACATCCAGGTAATAAGATACGCCAAAAAACAGTTACTCAAGCAACTGGATATGATTTTGGAAACGGTCAGTGACACTACAGAACTTGTGCAGAAATGCAGGTTGTGCAGAAGCAAGAACGTGGCCCCAGATGTCTTACCGAGGAATGATTGCTGTGCAGAAGATGTCGTTCGGTTGAGTAATGATTCCATTCTACTCACACACACCCAGGGCTAATGGAAAGACTCCCTGTGCCCACCTGTTGTGAATGCGGTTCCTAAGACCACATTAGTAGTAGCACGGTTTTGAATCATGATTCATTTCTTTGCTTTTGTGAATCGTGTACTGTAATGTTTTCGTATTTTGGGAGTTCATCTTGTAATTATGTTTTATTTCTGATGCATTCTAATGAACTAAACACAAATGGATAAGTGAATAATACGTTATGGACAAAAGCTTTCTTGTATAGTGACTGTGACATTTCAAAGGAAACCATAAAGCAGTTACAATACGCCTGTCGGACTGTTAGTGCTAAGATATAGACATTATTTCTACGTTGACATGCATCAAAACCTACATAGTCGCTGCCCTGAAAAGCATTTCCCACAGACTTGTTACCATTTGCTGACTCCTACTCGACTTGATCATTAAAGACAGGTTTTAAATCTAAGCCTTAGGCCACACCAATTTAATTTATTGGTTGTCGGATTTTTCCAGAAAAAAAGTCAACACAAAAGGCTGGGTTGATATTCAAACAATGAATTTTGAACTTTTAACCAAACCACTGCATTGATAGATGGAAAAACTGTAACAACTAGGAAGAAAATATGAGCATATTTGAGTTGATTCAGAACAAGATTTTTTTGCAAACCAGAAAAAAATGAACAGGCGAATCCGAGAACCAACAAATTAAATCGGTGTGGCCTTATCTTAAAAAAAACCCAAACGTTTCAATATTGCCAAAAGTGACATCTTCATCCCGAACCTTACCCTCCTCTTAAATCTACAGATCAAAGGCTATCTCAGTCAGACCAAAGGGTCGATTCATCTGCGGTTTCTGTCTCCAAACCGTATCAATACGTTTCCATTATTAATGGCCCTTTAACCTGTTTCACTCCGCGGAAATCCCGGCTGCTGACTCGGATGTAGATGTTATTTTCAGATGTCATTATTTAGAGCACATTGTCGCATCGATTGACCCATCTCTAAGACAAGGGGGAGTAATACTAGTGCTGGGTAACCTTACCGCCCATAGATGTAATCTCTAAGTAGAGGTTTGGGTTTTGACTTATTTTTGGCGTATTTTTAAGCTTATTTATCAGGGTTTCTTTCATTTTGTACTGGAAGTTTTTTTTCGCCAACCCGACGTAAAAAGATTCCAGTCCAAAAAAGAAATCCCGATTAAAAAAAAGCATAAAAACACCCCAAAAATAAGCCAAATTCCAAACCTCTGCTTGGAGAGTACCATAGATGCACAAGATGCACACTGGTGAAGCAAGCTGTAGGCTATCAAGAAACTCTGGAATATTAGCTTATCCTGTAAATCATTAGATACATCACTGCATCTACACTCAAGTTACACCTACCCGATTAAAACCATTATACTATAATTAGAAAAAGGGAGCAAATTTAACGGAGGTCATTATATTTTTCCTGTGTTCATACTATAGGATTGGGAGACATTGAACATCTTCTATCCACATTTGGTGCTTGCTGCAACATAAGAATGTATTTAACAACGAACTGTCGGGACTGCTTCACACAATATAATAGCGTTATGATAACTCATTGAGAGTAATTTTGCATCACTTCCGACAACCACAGGAGAATAGAGGGGCGACCACTGTTCATTATAGCGTGTGGCGGTTATTCAGCCGTAATCCCGCAGAGAATGACCACAAATTGAAACACGATTTAAGTGAATAACGCTGCGAGCGAATCGATACAATTATCAAACACGGACTTTTATTAAGAGCTGTCCCTGACCTGATGCATACATCACATCACCCGTGATTCTCTGTGACTGTGCTGAGTTGGGCCACGCCGACTTAATTTTATGGATGACATCCTCTAAAGACCCCAAACTAGTGCGCGCGGGCGAATAAAAAATCCGACCAAAAATAAAAATGCTACTAAACCACAGGAATACAAAGTTGGTATTGTGAATTTGCGGCAGTACATAGCGACGTATACAACAAGCCGGCACATGCTGGCTTTTTGCGTAATTTATGAATCGGCACTGTACGTACTGAGTTCTTGAGTCGTGGAGCTTCAGTAGCCTGGGTGCCCAGCTTCGTATTGTCGCTAACTACCATGTTAGCGACAGGCCTAGAGCCAGGCCAGAGCCTCAGTGGACGTGATTTTTTTTTAGAACAGGCAAAAATCAGTGCGCGCGCGGATGTTATCCATAAAATTAAAGCGGTGTGGCCTTGTTTTGTGTGCTCACAGTGGAGGCAGTACAGGCGAATGCACAAGAACTGACAAACGACTCCTGAAGGTTTTAGTACTGTGCAGAAAGCATGAACTTTATGTTTTTGATGTGGTTGGTTATGCTTCTATTCCGCCCACGCAAATCCTCCTGTATCTGTCGGCAATAAAGTTTACCATCGACCCACCGTGATC